TTGCTGCTGTGCATCTGTCTCTGTTAATGCAGCCATTTGTGATTGGATGTGAAAGCAACATTTAATTTTTTTTTTTTTTTGCTACAGCACTCTTCGAAAAACAAAACAACAAAATTCATAAATAGATAAATAAACTATTCGTGAACATGTTCAGGCCTTGGGATACTCATTCAAAGAACATCCATCTTGTTTGTTTTGTGTTCTTTGGGAGGAAAGATTTTGTGTTTTACTGACATGTTTTTATCGCTATCGTTTCACAGTCATTAGTTTATAATCCTTCAACTAAGACTAATGGTAATCTTCATCAAGCTGATCATTTTAGTCCTCCATCTTAACAACGCCAATCACTTTTATTATGTTACAGCTCTGCCAACTTAGTTATCGTCTTTGTTTCTTTTCTTTTCTTTTCCTGTGTCTCACCTGGTTTTCCTCTCCTCTCGTCCACCACATACATATAGTATACTCCCTAAAGGCCTGCCTATACCTAGCCTCCTGTGATATCCTGATCCTCCACACCTGTCGTTTAAGTGTTTCCCATTTTTAAGTCTGTGCATACGGTACATCATTGAACCTCTTTCTTCGAAACCAATTTGCTCCCTGTGACTAGCGAGCCGTCTCCTGTTTTCTTTGTGCTTCATCTTCCCCTGGTTTCAAACGCAGCCCGTCAAATCTCTACTTCTCCCAGTCGACTGAAAGCTGTCTTTTGTTTTGACCAGTGTCAGTCCCAAGATCAAATTTCTGCCGTCTGTTAAATCCGAGATTTACAACACGGTTTATTGTTGTTTCAGCTTCTCTCAGTGCTGAAATTTGAATCTTACTCCACCGCTCTAATAACAATGTTCCTGTAAATTTCTGACATCGTCCTTTTTTTTTTTCCTATCTTCCTCCCGGCAGTTTAGTCTGCAACATTTTTAGGGCTACATGTCCTTAACCTGTAAAACTGCTCAACCTCAGCTGTTCCTCTAAATTCTTATTTTTAATCCTTCCATTCTGGTCACCAACAACCAAATGTGACCTCTGTTTTTAACCTATCACCAAAGTGAACAGTGTGTGAGGACGGGGCCATGCTCAGAGCACCTCAGTGGTAACTCAAACCTGAAACCTTCTGGACCCAAGTCCGCTTCCTTAACCACTAAGCCACACCTGACCCCTGTTTTTTTTTCTACCAAGATGGAACCTCAATTTCTGGTTTTTCTTTCACCGCAGACTAGAACTGTAAATATCATGGTCCAGGGAGTCTGACGTCTGACCCAATCTGTCAACCTGTCCATCACCATATTTACGCAAAAGCCCATGAACTGAATGCTCTGTCATGCGACCATGTGGTTTCCTATTTTCTTTATTCAATGTATCTATATTTCACATCATGTCATGGATCTTTATTTATTTACTTCACATACGTTTAATCAGAAGGAGAATTTTAAAATGCTGCTTATAACAGTGCACCATGGTACAATCTGGTACAGAAAATACACCAGGCCAGACCTGGACAGTACACTGACCAGGAAGTCCTCCAGTGAGATGGAAATCGTGTATTGAACTGATGTTAAAGTGCAGCTTGTTCATGATGTGTCTCTACACTTCTGTCATTACTGCAGCAGTACACTCGGTTTTTTCCCCTGCGACATCTGTCGACTCTCTTAATTGTATTCCTATTGAAATTAATTCCCCTTTAGAATCATGAATAAATCACTTGAGGTAAATTAACGTCATAATTATGTGTTCTTGATGAAAATCAGTTTCATTAATCAATAAGTGTTGGTAAGAACTTGACTCTATGAAGCATTATTTACCAAAAAAGCACAGACTGGTCATTAGCAGCTTATCAACGTCTATTGAATGTAACAGCAACAATTATGGATTCTAACGTGTTCATTCACTCAAAATGAACAGAGTAACCTAGCACACTTAGCTTACCGTTTTGAGATATCATGTTTGTAAATGAGCTGTGATACGTAAACTGTTGCATACAAACGTTCCATTGAACTTGTTTTTTTGTTATTATTATTTTTTAAATGCTACCAAACTGTGGATGACTTTGACAAAGACAAGGGCTGACTGTCAACGAAACGCTCAAGTTTAAATAGATATTCAGTAAATCACTGGACCTAGTCTTTCTAGTAGGTTACTAACTCTCTCTGTGTCTCTCTGTGGGTTGGGCTGATCCAGAAGACAGACAGAACATATCAACCAATAAGTTGACTGGGAGATTACACCCCTAATTATTATTTAGAGGTTATATAGTCCGTTGTTGAACCCCAAACCACATGGACACACATCACTTCCACCATCATAACTCATCATAGTGACAAGACAACAGAAGTGTGAGTCAACGGTGCAAAATTGACAAAAAAATGTTAGCCTCTCAAAAAGCTAAATGTCAACTGTCTGGACAAATGAAGGGACATCCGATCATTCAATCCAGTCTATTTTCCTGCTCGCGCTCCAACCACAAACACTGAAAGAACAATTAAAACAGATATGAGTTTGTTCTCGTGTTCAAAGATTATCCAGGTCCACTAAGGGTTACAGTACAGGCAGGGATCCACAAGCTCTCCCAGTTGCAGCTTTATCTCACGACAACAAATGAAGACAGTGGGTGGGCAGGACGGAACATTGTTATTGACAGTGCCATTTGTGTGACAGAACCACCTCTGGCAAATAAAGATGAATGCAGGCCTAACTCCAGAGGAAGGAGTGGTGAATCATCCACAGTACCGCCGGTGCAATGAGTCAAGGAATTAAGACGATAAAAACACATTAACGGTATCACACTTTATATATTAATATACATTATTAATGTGGCTTTCCAGCTGATCAACAACAGCAAATGAATAAGGTTAAACTATAGATAGATAGATAGATAGATAGATGATGGTTTGTGCCTGTTATCAAGCTACTGTGCTCCTCCAGCTAGCGTATAGCTAGGTAGCGTAAAATGGACAGTTTTCTGACAAGACAAAGAGCTAAAACCTGATAATGTGAGGCAACATACATGAAGTACGGCCATTGTTAATACTTTCCTATGCTAATTCCAATTTTGAATGACGTAACTGAATACTGACAGGGAAAAGGCTATAAAATACTGTTTAAAACTGCACCACGAGATATGTGTCTCTGCAGCCATGTCCCACAACCAACAGTCTCCAACAGGTGTATATAAATCTCAGAGCAGGCTATTATGGATTATTTATAGTTGCTTTTAAAAGATGAAACACCTGACCCAAAGGAGACTCCACTGACATTTTTGGCTGACCTTTAACTATCTTTTCCATTTGGTTGCCCATCCTATTCTTTAATAATAGTCCCTTTTTTTCTCAGTAGCGAGGCACTTTCTTGAGATATAAAAGAGGCCACTGGGTTCTTTGACACATAATAGTTAATCTGGCTTTAACTGCAGTGGTAGTGTATATACTGTGGTACCAGTTAAAAGTACGTGTAGGTCACGTCTGACTCTGAGAAACATAATCCTTAGTTGTTTGCTGCTCTTAAACAAAAAGAATCACCTTTTCTTTTTGGTACACACAGTGCACATTTCTTATTTTTACTCTTCCTCTCATTAAGATTTCACTGTCGAAGTAATGGGCAGCATAACAACCACATTATCAGAACTGCTGCTTTGCCGGAGCATGTACTGAATTCTAAAACGATTAGAAAGAAAAGAACAAGAACACCAGTGAATGATAAGGCACTGTTTACATTGTGTTCAACAAAGGCAGTATTGTCCTTTCCAAAGTGGGACACTTCTTTTGAAATCACAAATATGTAAAAGCCAAGGTTCAATCAGTCTGTGTTATCCTTACAGCAGCAATCCATCTAAAGCAGACATGAGACTCGACGTTCTCTTCAGCTTTAAACAGGGCGCAGGAAGCCAAATATAGGCCCCATTACACTGACAAACTTCAAACAGAAGCAGAAAATCCCCATTGAAGCTGTTCTCCAGCCTCATTTGAATACAACATCTGGGACTGCTCCCACTTTGAACTTTCCCTGCTTGTTTTCTCATAACCCACAGTCACCCACCGAAGCAGTGTGTCTTTCTGCTTTAACGCAAACACAAACAAGTCTTATCTTTCCTTTGTCCACCCAGCAGGTGTAGCTAGTGTTTCGTTTTGTTTTTTAAGTACTGTAAAAACCATAGTTTAACAGATAAGTATGTTATTATTCAATAAGATAAAAATGGTGTCAAAAACTTGAATGTGTCTGTCATCTGAAGTGACGGACAAAGCTACAAAATGCTATAAAATATAAAATATTTGCACTAATTTGATTTTTAATTCACCTTTTAGCTCATATTTGTTGTTCAATTAAATTCATTTTTGAAATGTGAGTCAGATGTATTCGTCCATTTCTGAATTAATGGCTGGGATTATTGATATGGATCAAAAGCAACATGCACCATAACCCTTTAGCAATCTAGTGTGCAGGACTTTAGCAGTTGTGGTTTGTGTGGTGTCCAGTGAAGGGCATTTGTAGACACAGAAAAACCACATCCCTCCCCTGGAATTGATCACCTTCGTTTACTACAACGTAATAGTAGTATGTTATAGCTTAGGTTTAAGAATGAGTCATGCGATTTTTTTTACTTATACTAGACTCTATATATTTGTCTTTTGGAAGGCAAATATGTGAGGTCAAGAACTCAATAACCTTCCTACGAGGAAGATTGAAAGACTGAAAATATGTCATATGTCATTTACTTAGGTACAACAAATGTGTTCAATACATGTGTTCAGATATAATTTGCATATGAGGTTCTCAGCACCTGGCGGCAGTTCTAAAAGGAAATCACACGCTCGACCAGGCCTGGTGAGACACACCGCCAAACACACCTTTAGACAACAGCAGACTGTAGCCGCCTGTTGTCGAAACAACAAGGACACGACAACAACCATCACATGCATTAGAGAATAATGATTGGACAGAGTTTTAAGATAGAAACAGGGCTGAGAGTGGAGCGAACTTTCATTAATAATGTAATAAAATTCAACAGGACTCACCAACGAGATGTAGTGATTAGTTAATCAGAGCTCCGTCTCATCTTCGTCGATGTCACCACACCGGTCAGGTTAAATGATTCACTGTCTTTAGGTCTTGCGATCAGAAGCTGGAAACTGGCTGTGGCTGTTGTAATTATCTTCAGTAAAGTCCCGCACAGGGTTTTCACTCTGTCTGCAAAAGAAATGAATGCGTTAATTTTTTTTTTCATACAAAAATATTCCTCTAAATCAATGTCCCTAGAGTGTCCCTAGTGTGCCGTCAGAGATTATCAGATGGAAATACTAATCTCAGCGTTCTGCATATTAGCATTTGCTGAGAGTTTGCCATAGTCTATGCAACAGTGAAAGGCAAAACAACTAAATACCTTTCCACTAGGTGGCAGCCAGTGGTTATAAAAACCTAAAAAAAGAGAGCGAAACTGAAGCTATTCAAGAAGATCTTTGTGTTGACCTTTCTTCAATACCTGCCATAATAGCCGGTTTGTGTTCAACTAAACAGCCCCATGAACCTTAATATCTCAGCGATTATTACATTTATATTAGTCATTTGTATTGTTCCTGTGTGTGTGTTGCAAAGACACATTTAAATTCAACAACATACAAAGCCTGGTAATACATCAGCTCATTTTTTTTCTAAATTCAAATGTAGAAAATCAGGATAATAGTCCCTTGTTTCTACCACCACCAGTGGATAGTTAGCACTTCAGTCCCTATTACTGTATTAAGGAAACCCAAGAGAAGAAATATTTCATTTTATTTTGGATAGAGAGACAAATTGGACTAATGTTCATTATATGTCAGCTAAAGCAACCCATTTTAAAATGACTGATACCGGGGAAAAAAAATCCAATAAAAGTGTACTCAGACTTGTAATTGATTAAGCGCTGTAATTATGCAGCACGGCAATAATAATTGTAACAGCAGGATATTTAACCCTTGGGTCGCAGAGTAATTTGATTTATTGCCTCAAGACCAAAGAAAACACAGTTTCAAGACCAATGATTTCCATTCACACTTTCACTGTAACAATAACACATTTTCTGGTGTGATGGAACCACAGCAGCCTGAATTTACAAAATGCTCTCAGGCTATTTTTAGCTAGTTTAGCAGTTAGCTAAATGTGTAGCTTACTTTAGGAAAGCATTTTTAGTTGAAGCCATTAAATGTATATATCATCATTTTGGAATTTACTTACTTACTTACTTTCAACTCGATGAACGATATATTTGAAGATTTGAAACTTCAATGGATTGAACACTTTGGCTAATTTTTTAAGTATGAATCATCATAATCAGTGTAGCTTTCTTAAACAAGGCTGGGGATTCATCACATAACCTGTTCCCAAGCTGAGAGGTTTTGATTTACAGTGATTGGAGACGGTGCCCTACTTTCTGCCTTGTTCTTTAGGGAGGGCTCCTCACTCTTTCTCCCTTTTCCTCTCTGCCTGAGTCCAAGCCAGGCACACTAAATACAGCCCTGCAGTTACCATAGAAACCAGCACTGGCGCATCCCTGACTGGTCCCGCTGTATCTCATTTTGCACTTGACCCAGAAAAAAAATATACAAAAATCAGAGGAGGATTCTTTTCAAATTATCACTCCGCATTTACAAGCGATATAACAAACATAGATGATGAATTAGCAGCCGACGTCTTCAAAGACACAGGGGAGAGGACTTTTTTTTAATGTTTTTTGGAGCGACAGTGATGATGATGATCATGATGAAGCCAAAGCTTCTCTGGAGAGTGTACATTTAGTGACACCAACCTCCAGCACTGCTGAAAGGCTGACGCAAAAGCTCTAGTTTTCTGCACAGCTCCTCTCTTTTGTATTGCCACCTTTTTCAGGTAATAACACAGTAATCAAGTAGAGTATTGCAGTGGCTGTTACTGACGTTAGGGCCAATAAGTTTCTGAGGAGCATTTGGGATGAAATCAAGGCATGATTCCACTACAGGAACCTTTAACAAGGCTAGTATAAGTAAAAGGGTTTTATGACAAAGAGAACATTTACACAGGAAGTACTGATGCACAAAATAGACAGAGGGGTGGGCTTTAAGGCATTGCTTCCCAAAGACTGGGTCGTGACTACAGATTATATTGTCTTGTGCTGCAATCGTCAAACCATAGTAACCTTTTTAGAAAACTTTGGTGGCTTTAAAGGTCATACTGTAGAGCTCTTCAGGTGATTATCCATTAAAATCTTGCCTAAAATAACCACTAACTTTTTCACAGGAGGTAAAGTCCTGTGGAGTTCAGGAGTCAGTGACTCCAGGTGTTAGTTGGTGTTTCCAACAGAGCAAAATATGTAAACTTCTATTTTTATTCCCCCAATCATTGAAATCCTTCTTTGGATTTTTATTTTTTTTTAAACAAATCACAGATATCATATGCCACATGTTTGATTTCTCATTTTAGAACTATTCACGGACAAGTACCAATTGGGTCCTGGTTCCTGTGGAACTGTACAAAGTAAACCCTCGACAAATCGTATTTGTTGAGCCATACATCCAGTTGGAATTCTATATGGCTGCAGGGTGCATTGGTTTCCAGTAGGTTAAGTAACTTAGCACTGTGTTAGCTCATTTCCACTGGGACATTATCATAGCATCCATGTAGGTCACAAACAGTCCATTATCCCACAAATAGACTGTACTCTCTAGGTCAGGAATCTTACTGCCCTTCCCAAACCTAACCCACCAGCTCCCACTAGAGTCATTTATGTAAATATATATATAAAAAATAGACCAAATATGTATGTTTCAACACTGCCATTTATGAGATTTGCAGGTATGGTAATCTCTATATCGTTTATATATAAAACATACAGAGCAGAGCGTCCACCACAGTGTAAACATGTAGCAGCTCTTACACCCATGAAGGCAACAAAGTCACAACAGATCCTCGCACTTTACAGGAATTACAGCTGCTGCAATCCAATTTTGTGGCCTGTGGTGAGGAAAAAAAGCGGGTGCTTTTACAGAGAAGCAATATCAGTGTAAGTGCTTCCAACATGAAAGAAACTTATACAGTCAGCACAGACAATGAAATAAAACAAGAGTCTAATAAAGCCATAAGAAGACAAATGGCTGCATATATTTCTCATGATAAAGCCCCGCGGGTGCAGGCTTCAGGCGTTTCTGAGGAAAATGGCTACATTTATATAAAAGCGAGCAGGATCTCCGTTCAATATAGAGACTGCATATATAGATAGAGGCTGGAGTTTCTGCAGGGGCCGAGTCATGCTGCAGTACAGAAAATAACAACTGAAAAATGTTCTGCACATTATTTTGATCTTAACAAGTTTTATATTAAGTTGACATACCAGACCAACAACTGCTATAAAGTTAGCTAAAAAGCCAAGTGAATTTAGCCAAATACAAGTATGAAGTTAGCTGAAAACAACTTAATTTAGCTAATATCCTATGAGAATTCAGCCAGAAACAAATATAACCAATAATTGTGTAGTTAGCCAAATTAAGTAGGGAATTAGCTAATAACAAGTGTGAAATGAATCAAAAGCAAATATGAAGTCAGCTAATAACCAGTTTGGAGTTAGCGGAAGCTATCATGAGAGTAGCCAAAAACAACTGAAAAGTTAGATAACAACCAGTGTGAATTTAGCCAAAAAATGTAATACCCAGGTAAAACAACACAACTACAAAACACAGGCCATACAGAACCCATATATATATATATATATATNCATGTTTATTAGTATTTTCCTGTACACATGTAGCTCTTGCGCCACGTGTCGATTTCACTTGTAAGACATTTCCTCTGCAACAAGCCAATCAGGCATTTAGCACCAAAACAAACAAACGATTGACCAAATCTAGTGGCAAATTGGACATGTTTTTTTTTTTTTTTTCTTGCTGAGCAGTAATGACATTGTTTAAGCACAGAGCAGCACGCTACGGTTTGTGTTCAACGGTCATTTGAATAACACTGGCATATAGACCTCCGCTGCTGCATGGAGCTGACACAGGCCTGCAGAGCATCATATTGCATTGTTAGAAATTGACTGAGCATGACATGAGCTAAGTGCGGTCTGTCTAAGTGGTCAGTGAGAGCATTGCTAAAAGGAAGTGCAGACTAGTTATAGAGATGTTATAGCTAAAGTAGGCAGAGTGCGGGAGGGAGAACTTCTACAGCAGGAGAAACGTAAAACCCTCTCAGTGTTGGGTAGCGCAGCAATACCTCGGATTCAGACAAAATTAAGTTATATATTTATATATTTAGGACACAGAAAACAATAATCAAAAAGGCAGAAAACCAAGTAAAGGAAAATAAAAGATACAGTGGAACAAAAAAAAAAAAAAAGAAAAACACAATAATCAAACTAATAACTGTTGTGGCTGAATCATAGACCTCACAAAAATGTGTAATCACAGCATATACTCCACACAAGAATATAAACAGAGACAAAGATAAACAGTTACCTAAAGCTATACACGTCACCAGAGCTAGAACAAATAAGCACAAACTGATCCTTTGATAGGTGTCGCTGTAGCAACAACTCAGATAACACACCACCTTGTTTTATTCACATGCCCATGTGAAAGCTGTTCATTGTTGGCCTCTGATCTACGACATATGGACTCACAGCAGCCTTCATTAGCATGGCTGATTAACTGGCCAGGTTAAGTGTCCGTGCACTTGAAGGCTTAATGAAACTGTCTGCCTCCAGGAATCAAGTCGACTGACCGCCAACCCTTTTGTCCTCTAAGTCGGCTCACCACCAGGTGCCAGCTCTGGCAGTAAGGACGCCAGACAAGATCAAAATGGAGGCCAATGTGCATTGTGGAAAATGTTCCACATCTGATAGTGACGTTGTTTCACACCCAAGGGGTTGCGGGTTCGATTCTAGACTTAGTAGGTTATACGTCATCCCCAGGAAGCAAACAAAGGCAGAGGCCATACCTGTTATTTGAAGTGCTCTGAGCAGTCGCCAAACAAGGAACAACACAAGTACGGACCACTGACCAATCATCAACGGTCTGAACTCCGAGTGGAGAAAATGAGGGAAGAGATGGACAAACAGAACAGTACTGCAGTGATGCAGGCCTGATCCTGAAGTTAAGGCTCTCAGTTTGCTGCTTTGTTCCTAACCTCACCTGTGGTCATGGGCTGTGAGTCATGGCTGTAAAAGAATAGAATAAATACGAGAGGCA